ACGAGAACAGTAAACGCTAAGAGACGTCCTCGGCGCCTCCGAACGACGAACAGTCTCGGCGCATGATATTGCTGGTACGGCGGGGGACTTGAATCAAAGACACCTTCGCCTTTGCCGACCATCTTGGAGTGCTCGACGCATGAAATCGTCACAATCTTCTAAAAATACTGCAAGTAAACGATCTCTAGACAAAAGTAATTTTCGTCAAGAAGAGCAATTCTAATCACGGCATACAATGCCTCAATTACCCTCGAGCTGGGCTCCCCGACTCAGGCAGTCGACTTCAGAGCTTGGCGTTTGCTGATGGACGGCGGCGTCATCGTGGGTCGGAATGGCGTCACTTGGATTTGACCCACGTTCCAACGGAGTAATCCGAGAAGACCAAACTCAGCGCCAGGTATGACTTCCAGCGATCTTCGGTCAAGAAAAGAGGTGAAGAGAAGTCGTCGTGAGAAGGATCTTGCGGGGGACTCCAATCGCACCGACGACGTTGGTCAACATGCAGCACTCGTAATTCGCTGTTCTCATCACTCAATTGACCGGGCCATCTGCAGGTAGCCGTTCCGGGAAGTTGTCGCCTGTCAGCCGGAGCCGTGAAACCGAAACCGACGCGGCGGATCCCCGAACTCTTTGAAGGCATCGGGTCCGCTCCGACATTGCGCCTCGGCGGAATAATCGTCCATCAGCAAGTTGCAGTTAAAGACACGTCTAGAACCTGGCAAACGTCAAAATCTGGTAGACACTTTGCCGTCTTCGTTCTCTCCTCCGCAGCCGCCATTTCTCTGGCCGATGACGCGATAAGACACGCGCCCACTTCCCGCCAACTTCATCCCTGCAGCCGGCCGTTGCAGCGGGATGGGCGAGCCCAAGATAGGATGGGTTAAGCTTATTGGTACGTAAGAGACATTGTCTCCCGGGCTTGGCAGCCGTAGATGGGAGGATTCGTTTTCCCATCGAGGTAATTTTCTCGTGGGGTTCTCATTCATTCTCGGGATGGTGCGAGACAGCACGTCGCTGCTGGCGCGGCAGTTTTCACTACAGAGATTTGCCAATGTCATCTGCTCAACGGAGATATGCGTCTTGGCTGTCTTTAGCCCGAGTAATTTCCATATTGAAGGAGTCTCTAGCGATGGAACTATGAGCGAAACGGGTGCATACTGGGCTAGAGGTACGCGTCTTCGTACTGCAATGCGAGTCGGTCGGGATCCCCGCCAGAGCCCACTCTTCCTTCTTTAGCCACAGCATACTATCAAGTTGCAGATGGCAAGATCACACGAAAGCTCGGGGCATTTGCCCGTTGGATGGCATAAAGGTTGTTGGGAGACTTTAGCGCCACATAGTCACCAGATATCCGGGTTGCTACCACCCGAACGGACCCCGGCCCCATCTTTCGCGTGAACTATTCACGAACGGCAATAAGAACTGCTCTGTCCTGACTCACCTCATGTCCCTGTACTACCTGTTGTGTCTCATCTCTCAAGGTTCTGCATCTGTCTGTGGTTTCGTCCACCAGTCGTTGCCAAAATGGGTACTCTCAATGAGAAAACAGGCGACACCATCGATGTCGTCGCGCCAGCTGATGTCAACCCTCGAGTGAGTCTACCGGGTACGATCGTCTTCTGTTGGCATCAACTAACAACTTCACAGCGCGAGAGCTTCGATGAGAAGATTTCTGTTGATGAAGTAGCAAAGTGAGTCTGCATTTCACTTGCCTAAGATTATCCAACTTACATACCGCCAGACAACTGAATGCTACACCCGAAGAGGTCCTCGAAGCAAGAGAACACTCCCGCAGCTTCTCCCTCCAAGAAACCCGTGAAGTAACCACCACCCAACCCAGCCATCCTCCCACGCCCCTCACACATAACCCAGGCCGCCGAAAGACTCGTCTCCCAACACAATCTCGACCCAAACTTCCCCGCCGGCGCCCTCGAACGCCTTAAAGCCTTCCTCGCCAACGACGATATCCTGACCAACCCAGACTCCCACGCCCTCGAAATCTCCGAAGCCAAGGTCGAGGTCTCGCTGCTCACCACCAACAGCCCGTACGCCGAGGTCCGCGCCGTCGTCGACCCGCACGATGACCCCGGCCTGCCCGTCTCCACGATCCGCGCCTGGGTCATCGGGCTCGCCTTCGTGGTGTTCATCGCCTTCATCAACCAGCTCTTTAGCGTACGTCAGCCGTCGATCACGCTGAGGGCCGAGGTCGTGCAGCTGCTGGCGTATCCGGTCGGCAAGGCCGCGGAAAGGTTCCTGCCTGATGTTGGGTTCACTTTGTTTGGAGTTCGGCATAGCCTAAACCCGGGCCCTTTTAATAAGAAGGAGCACATGCTGATTTCGATTATGGCGAGTGTTGGAAAGACGCTGCCTAGTTCGAGATATATCAGTAAGTTCCGCGTCTTTCGATGGAACATGGTGTTGGTAATCTGACAAGATCCGCCTCAGTCTTCACCCAGTGGATGGATCGCTACTTTGGGCAAAAGTACGCCAAGTCATTCAGCTACCAAATCCTTCTGGCTCTCTCCACGAACTTGATGGGTTTCGGTTTGGCTGGTTTGTGCAGGCGTTTCTTGGTGTATCCAGCCTTTTGTCTGTGGCCGGCATCATTGGTCACCATTGCTCTCAACAGCTCTCTTCATAACGGTAAGCCAAGTCGCGAGAACATGCTCCTTATAGACGCACGATACTTATACCGCGACAGAGACAAATCACCCAGTTGCCGGCCCCTTCAAGAAGATCTACAGCATATCCCGGTACCGCTTCTTCTTGGCTGCCTTCGCCTGCATGTTCGTCTGGTTCTGGTTCCCAGACTACATCTTCGGCGCGCTCTCACTCTTCAACTGGGTCGCGTGGATTGCCCCCGACAACTTCGCCCTGACAGCCATCACCGGTGTGCGCAAAGGTCTCGGCTTCAACCCTCTGCCGACTTTTGACTGGAACGTCGCAACCCACGTCGTCCAGCCCCTCGTCGTCCCCTTCCGCGTCACGTTCAACACCTTCATCGGCGTCTTCATCGGCGGCATCACGATTATCGGGCTGTACTGGACGAATGCGTACAACACGGCCTACCTCCCGATCAACTCGAACCTCATGTACAATCATTTCGGTGGCTCGTACAACGTCTCCAAGATTCTTGATAGCCGTGGGTGGTTGGATGAGGCCAAGTACCAAGCCTACTCCCCCGTCTACCTGGCCGCGAGCAGTATTACGATGTACTACTACTTTTTCGCCGTCTATGCCGCGACAATATCCTATGCGATCCTCTTCCATCGCCACGATATTGCCCTAGGCTTCAAGAGTCTGCTCCGGAGCTTCAAGAAGGAGGCGTCGCAGGACTTCAAGGATGTCCACACGAGGATGATGTCGAACTACCCGGAAGGTACCAGGATCTTCCCTGCTTTTTGGAGTGTAGCTGACCGGTCACAGTTCCCGAGTGGTGGTACCTCATCCTCAACCTGCTCGCAATTGCATTCGGTGTTGCGGCCGTTGCTGCTTGGCCCACCGAGGTATCTCTCGACACCTCCCATACATCCAGTTACATTGCTAATCATTCCCCAGACCAGCGTCGGCGTCGTCTTCTTCGGCATCGCGCTCGCCCTTGTCTTCGTCATTCCCACCGGTATCATCTTCGCCACGACCGGAATGGAGGTTGAGTTCAAGTAAGTCAACCTAAACCTCTGATGCATCTCAAAGACTAACATAACTATAGCGTGCTGGCCGAGTTCATCGGCGGTGCATGGGAGCCCGGTAATGCTCTCGCCATGAACTTCTTCAAGTGCTTTGGGTGAGACGACCAACAAACATCGCAACTCTGAATTCCTTGACTGACCAACACTTCCAGCTACGTCACAACCGCCCACGCCCTCGACTTCGCCAACGACCTCAAGCTAGCCCACTACCTCAAGATCCCCCAGCGCCACACCTTCGCCGCCCAGGTCGTCGCCGTCTTCGTCTCCGCCTTCGTCTGCACAGGCGTCATGAACTTTCAGATTGAAAACATCCCCGACCTGTGCTCGACGTAAGAAGCTCTTCACACCAACGCCTCTCCTGTCATGCTAACAACCTTCACAGCAATCAGAAAGACCGCTTCTCCTGCCCAGGCGTTAACACCTACTTCACCGCCGCAGTCCTCTTCGGCAGCCTGGGCGCCCGCAAGGTCTTCGGTTCCGGCGGCATCTACACCGCCCTCCTCTCCGCCTTCCCCGTCGGCTTCGCGATCCCGATCCTCTTCTACGTCTTCCAGAGGCGCTTCCCGCGCACGCACTGGGTCGCCAAGATCCATCCGGTTATTATCCTCAGCGGTGGCATCAGCTGGTCTCCTGTGAGTCAAAACCATCCCTTTCCTTGCTCTTCCTGGTCTCTGATTTGATTTGTAGTACAACATCGCCTACATGTGGCCGGCCGTCATCCCCGGCTGGCTGAGCATGGTCTACCTCCGCCAGCGCTACCTCGCCTTCTGGTCAAAGTACAACTACGTCTTGTCCGCCGCCCTCTCGACCGCCATCGCCATCGCTGCGGTGGTCATCTTCTTTGCGGTGAGCTATCACGGGTTCGAGGTCAACTGGTGGGGCAACGACTCGGAGAAGGGCTGCGAGGCGACGGCTTGCACGAGGCTCAAGCTACCCAAGGGGGAGTACTTCGGCCCTCGCGTCGGGACGTATGCAGGATAACCTTCTGTCCTCGGACCTGCCATCCTTTCAACATGTACACATCTTCACACCGCAACTCGACAACTAGTAGAACAAAAGAAGAAATGGCTTCAAGATATACGGTGAATTATACAGTGAATCAAAGTCTCAATTCCCCAGGAACTCTCCCCCAACCCACTATAAAAAAAGGAGGTTCCCCTTCCCCATCTCCGCCGCTGTCCAGAAAGATCCCGACCAAACATTGCCCAAGAAAAGTCCCAGCTTCACGGTCCAGCCAGGCCCCTCCATCGCGATCCTCTCAACATCAGCATCCTCAACAGCTCAGACGAACCCCGCGCCCCCCAACTCCCCTCATTCCTCATCCCCCCCATCGACCGAAAACGGCGCCAAAGGCGGCACACTCTCCTGCGGCGCCTTCCTCCTCGTCAAATCCCCTCCTTCCCTCCTCTCCTTACTCCCCGTCGAAAACGGGTTCAACGGCGGCACCTCCTCCGGGTCCTTCTTCTTCCGCGCCTCAAGCGCGTCTCGCTTGCCGCCCTTGCTGAAAGGGTTGAGCGGTGGTACGGGGTTGCTGCCGCCCTTGCCGTCGCCGTCCTTGCGCCGACGGAGGTACTCCGCGTCGCGGGCGTTGTGGAAGCGCACCGGCGGCGCGCGCTTGAGCTGCTGCGGGACGACGGGGGTGCCGAGCTCTTCGCGGCGGATGAAGGAGACGACGCCGCCTATGGCTTCGGTGGCGCGGTTTTGGAGGGAGGAGAGAGGGCTGTCGGGGTTTGGTGTTAGTCGAGGCCGCTATGTAGCAGGTGTGGTTGACGAGAGAATAGACATACCCAGACTCAACAGGCACGGCGCCAACGCCGGCCACGGCGGCAGTAATGACAGCAAAAGCAGAGAACTTCATGATGTATATGCTTTAAAACGACCGTTCCAAGTGTTCTTCAAGAAAGTGGAGTATGTCCTTTGAAATGAAAAGAAGAGAAAGGAATAATCTGCTCCGGGCCGGTGTAGTAAAGTCGGTATAGTTGAAAAGAAAAGAAATGGTAAACTGAATGATGGGACGCTTGGTCTCTTCGATGAAGGGGAGTGTAATTCAAAATAATCCGTGTAACTGTTCACTTCAAATTCTCATCCGACATCAGACGGCAAAGACTTGGAAAGCAAGAAGCAAACAGGCCAAACTGTCACAACACAGGACGAATCTTCCCTTTATCTACCAACCAGTTACACCAAGCTGGCCCTTTCCCCGGTTACATTCCCACTTCTTTTCTTAGGCACGCTCAACACGAACCCATCCATGGCACCAGCCCATCTATCTGGAATCCCGCCCATCCCGGTCCCATCACCGAGAAAAAGGGCTGACGAACCTGAACACACCCCTCCTTACTCCGTACCCTTGTCCACAGCCCTAGACAACGTGGCGCGCCCGTTCGGGCACGTCATATCGCCCAAGGAAGGACCCTTACCGTCACTTTCAATAAGATGCGCCCTTTTGCCTTTTTCCCACAAGCGCGTTTCCACAGTTTCAGCCCGCGACAATTCCACACTTCTGTCTTCACCACAGACCAACAAGCGCCGCCGTCACTTCGTAAGTCCGCAGACAGCACACACGTGTCTTCCAATTCAGCTGATGCCTCGTCTCATTGCAGAGGCCAAGATAACTCAGCCTTCTCCTGCGCGCAAAGAAAAATATCCCCGACTCACGTCCCGCCGTGCCCAACTCGCCCCCCGACTCGCGAGCGCACGGAACCGCGTCCGACTCAGATCCGGTTCAGACTTGTTCAACCCACGACTCAAGTGCCAGCGGCGTCTCCAAAAACAGCACGCGTAAAACGTTACCCATGCCCAAAAAAAATCCAAAAATCGTCCAACCAATTCGTCTGAAGCAATCCGGCCTAGCCGGCCACCACCAATCGACCCTTTGCTGCCTCTCCTCTCGTAATCGAGATATTAAACGGTCAGAGAAAGATTATCTGCCCACTCGCTTGCGCGATGCTCCATACCATACCATTCTGAGCTATACCATCCTGAGATCGTTCCCCAAACTCTGCTCTGCTCTCCAAATCACGAAATGTGCCGCCGCTCCAACACTACATGCAAGAAAGCTGGAAAGCCTAACTTTCTTTTAGTGACAGAAGTGACAGACGACCTGTCTCTCCAGCCCAAATTCCCGCGTCCGAGGCCGAGATCAGGCGGAATGCTACCGCGATTGACTCATGTCACCTCAACGAGGACAAACTCAGTTCCCTCTCTGCCACGAACTTCATTCAACAACTCCTCTCCCTCTTTCTCATGCTCCCATCAAACCATACAGAAACACCAGGAAACCTTTCAGAAGAGGAACCACTCCTTCCAGAATCTTCCTAAACCCCGACACTCCCACAGCTAAACTCCCCAGTCTTGGCCTTCAACCAACTTACGACGGTGACATTCCATGGTCCAACCCAGCCTAACCCGAAAAGAAAGCCGGGCTTCGGTATCCAACCCGACCGTCCGCCGCACCCCGCGAACGCGAGCTGCGCAACGCATCCCACCCCCTCGGCCTCCACCCCCAGCTAAACTCAACAACCCCTGCACCCCGGCACTTGATGCATTAGCGCACGTCAGCCGTCGATCACCACTACTGGGTCCGCTCGGCAGATCACAAGGCATGAACGGCCAACGCCGCGCGCCATTTTGGGGGGAGGGGGATTTATCCGTACTTCCGTTAGGTTCCTTCATCTAAACAAGCCCAGCACCATCAGTTAGTAAGTAGGTATGCGCCGCATGATGGTCGCCTCACCATCGACTTCACCGAAGCCAGACCAAACCACTCAGCAGACGACATCATAGTAATAAACACAGCAGATAAGTCTATTCATCAGTACCTAACAGAGAACCCCCTCCCCTCCCTTACCGACGCCAAGCAATGCAAGCGAGCGACGAGGCCCAGAACCGGGAAGCCACATGAAAAAGTATACTACGTACAATAAGAAGGGTCTTTTATCTGGTATGTAGAAAAGAAACAGAAAACTCTCCACCCTGGCCTCATGCCCCCCACGGTTGCATCCGGCACCCCTCAGGCGTAGCGAACCTCGTTGAAGAGCCCGGCACGCACCTGAATCAGGGCAGCCAGCTCAAACAGGAAAGACTGCAGTATAATCACGTTAGTGAGAACATGCGAGACGGAAGCGGTACGCTCCGCCTTCTTCTCCTCTGGCTTTGGCTTGACCTCGGCGGTATCATCGCCGCTTGGCTCCGGCTGGGCCTCTTGGGCTTCTGATGCTTCCTGCTCTCCTTCTTGCTCAGCCTTTTGCTCCCCTTCTTCCGTGACCTCCTGCTCCGCCTCCTCATCGTCGTCCTTGGGCGGCGGCATATGTAGAGTCGGCTTCTTCCCAAGATCCAGCGGGATGGCCTCGACCTTGCCAGGAATGCCGACCTTACGCGCCAGGATACTTTGGTCAATCGCTGCAAACGCAGCTGCCTGACTGGCCACGGGGTCTCTAGGCCCATGCGACGAACCAGTTTCATCTGCCACGCTTCTTGGGGCATGGTCGTAGGGAGTGTCTTTTGGTGGGGGAAGAGGCCGGGACGTCGGGGTAGACAGACCATATCCGCCCGATAGACCGCCCGGGGCCGGGCTGTTAGTCCCGGAACCACGGCTGTTCTTTCTCCCCCTGGGAGTTCCTGACCGAGTTGGAGTGCTCAACTCCGAGACCAGACGCTGTGCAAAACGTTCCAGGCCAGACGGGCGCGCCGGCGATCCACTGCGTGCATCATCCAGACCTTCGCGTTCCGGGGTATGCGCTGACCTGTGTCTCTGCGGAGTCGGCTTGCGAGGCGGCAATGGCGGCGGCGTGGGCCGGTTATCCGCAGTCTGGAACGCCTCTCTCCGGCTTTGCAGGAGGTCCTCAAAGCGGGGGACCGTCTCGCGGTACTGGGCTACTTGGTTGCAGAGTTGCTGGAGAACGATGAGGATACGCGGCAGAGAGGACTGGGTCCAGACGGGGCGAAGACGACATCCGTCAAGAGCTGCAAGGGTTTGTTGCTCCGCGGACGTTGTGGAATCAGGGTCCGTTGGAGGCCTAAACGACGTCGTTGATGCGTCAGGAGACGTTGGGCTAGGCGGCTGCTCATCGTACGTGTACTTTTGAGGATTCCGGAGCATCCATCCCTCGACCGTCATATAGCCGCAGATGGCCAGATCCAAAATGGACTCGGTCAGAGAGAGGTTTGTGTCAACAGGGTTCATGAAGAAGGTCTCGAGAAGGTCCAGCACTGTGTTGAGCATGGGATCGTCCGGTCGGAGTGTGTGCTCGTGCACGTCGCGTGGCGCCCCAGGAAGCGTATCAGGAATAGCGGGCAGGTCATGGTTGTTGGTGGAAATCTTGGGGGCGACGAGCTTCAAAGAGCAGGGATGGCCCTCCAGTCGGGTCATTGTATCCTTCAGGACATTCTCGTAGATTTCATCAAAGTTGTCCTGGCCGCCAATCGAACCAGCCAGACTCATGAGGTAGTCGACCTCCTGCTCATGTGCTCCGACCGTGCGATGCATCTTGTCGCCAATCACTGTTTCCGTGCGCAAGAGCGTGCCCACAGCATAGCGATGGTGTCTCTTAAAAATGGCCGAGACTAGCTGGAGCGTAACACGAATGGTTTGCTGGTTATGGGAGCGCAAACACGCTTGGATGAGATCAACGAGGTTAAACAGCAAAGGTGTAGCGGTGATGTCGGATTGTGTCTGGGCCAGCATGGTTGCGAGGTCCATGGACTTGCGCTTGCGAGCTGCGCTGATGGAAGCGCGCCCACCACTTGAGGGGCCAGTCGAGACATGGTCAGGGAGACCGAGGAGGTAGTGGAGGATGAGGTTGATCATGTCGGGGTGGTCGAGGGATTCTAGGATGCGGCGGAGATAGGTAAGGACGGCAACGGACGAGCCTCCGTCAATATCAGACGACTCCAGCAGCGAAGGGTATCTGCACGCTCAGTCAGTAAAGGGTCTCTTGATATCAGACGGAATGGGGTCGTACAGGAGCTGCTGCAGAAAGATGACCTGGAAGTGTTCCAGAAGTGTCTGCTTCACCTCAACCGACTTGCAGTGGTCCAGCACGTCCTGCCAGAAGAGGAGATGGGAGAGGAAGGTTTCGATGTGGCCCTGGAAGTCGCCAGAGCAGGAGCTGATGATTTCAAAGGTGGACGTGGGACGCTCGTAGTCGGAGAAGGCTAGAATCGCGGGGAGGCCATTGGTAGGGTAGTCGATGACGAGCTTCCGGCTCAATTGGCTGTAGAGGGCTCCCAGACCCGTCGCCATCAACGTAGACAGATCACTCTCGACAATCCATTGCTCCAATGACTCGTCGCTGGACGCCGACTCGATGATGTACAGCAGTCCCGTCCTGGCAAAATCTCCTACCTTGCCCTCGTGATGAATGTAGTCCATCAAAATGTAGAACAGCGGAAAGTCCTGTCGCTGGGTCCGGCCGGCAAAGGAGCCTTGGTCGTCTTGGGGGTTGACCTTGGGGGCGCCATCGTGGTTGGTCTTGAACCAGGCGTGCAGGATGTCCCGGTTGAGGCGGATCTTGGTGGTGATGTTAAACGCCAGCTCGACAACCTTGGCCTCGGTGTCGGAACCCAGGCGAACGCTGTTGACGCCGGTGATGCGGACCAGCAGATTGGTCAGACTGGCGGAGAAGGTGACATTCTCGACAAAGGCCTCCTCCTCGGTCTCGAGCAGGGTCGCAAAAAAAAGGACGGCCTCCTTGATAATCCACTCGTTGTAGGATGTGGTCGCTATCTTGCCGATGGGCACGTAGACTTGTTTCTTCGCGGCATATTGGATGCAGGGGTGTGGGAGAGGGCGTCGGGACTCGTCGTTGAGGATGTTGGTCAGCTCTTGAAGCCTGATCTCGAGGGTTTCGGCGGCGTCGACGTCATTGGCGAGGTTTGAGGAGGATCTCCAGATTTGCTAAGGTAAGGGGGGACTAGTCAGGGTCCAAAGCTCCGGCGATGGGGTCCGTTCCGCGGCAGAGCTCACCAAGATGCGGTTGTATTCCTTATCGAACCGGTGCAAGCGTTTCGTGGGGTCCTTTGCGGCGTCGACCTTGCGGTTGTTGGAGGGGGAGAGCGAAGTGCCCGCTAGGAGGCGCGACCACTGCGGTGTCAAAGGTCAGCACGGGGGTGAAGCCATCGCCAGCCGGCCAGCCAGAAGGGGGGCTCCAGCACTCACAAAGTCCATGGTTTCGTCTCCGCAGGCATTTCCAGCAGGAAGGGGAACAGGCTCAGTCGCGCATAGGATCGAGGCGGTCGGTGTGTGGCATTCGGCAGTCCACGTCGTTCAGGAGTGTCGTCAACGGTGGTCGGTCGGTCGGTGGAGTTTGAGGAATCGGCAGCTGCTGCTAAGGGGAAGATGAAGCGAAATGCAAAGATGGAGCTCTGGTCTGGCGGGTGCATAAAGTGTCAAGTGTCAGGCGTCGCGAAATGTCATTCCGAGACTCGACCGCGTCCTGCTAGCTGGCCGCTGGCCGCTGTACCGGGCTCGCTGGCTCCAATGGCGGCTGCGAATTAGTGCAGGGCCACAGGGGCCGGTCGGTACGTACCGCAATGCAGCTGCTGCAGCTTCACAAGCTCCCTTCGGGTGCTGAAGGTGCATCCATCGGATTGGTGCCTCGTTGGGCTGCATATGTGGGGGTCCTGTGGCTGATTCGGGCACGGTGTGGCGTTTCCAAGATTACCTCATCTCGCATGTGGCTTGATTCCTCACGATGGCTTCACTTGAACGGATACTTTAACAGAGACCTTAATTAGGAAGGCTGCATGGGTTTGCAAATAGGCGTCAAGGTCTTGAGATATCATAGCGCTATAAAATCTTCAGCGCTCCGGTCTTTTGTGCTGATTCGGCCATCAGGGCTGGAAATAAAGGTCTGAGATTTCTCAATGCGACATATGGGTGGTCACGAGTGAACAATTTGTGTACCACCTTACCACAAGCGCTGAAGAACAATGTGCGTAGTCAGCGGCCGATCATACTGCTGTAGTCTGTGCCAAGGAGGAAACGTGGGGAGGGAAATCGTCAAGGTGCATTTCCTTTACGGAATACAAGAAAGCCGTACGAACAAAAGCGTGTTTGAGTACATGAATTCTCTGCGGTAAATCTTTTTTTTTTTTTACCCATACCATCACAACATCATACATGGGATTCTCCTTCAACTTACCAGTCACCATGAACTTTCGAAAGTCACCAAACTGAGAGGCGTCTCCCGCAACTCCTCAACGCCCATACTGGCATCAGCTAAACCCGTCCGAAGAGAACCGGCGAGAGTGTCGCAATGCGATTTCTGTGATTAGCAAGTCGGACATGTCGCAGTCTCAATTATCCATCCCTGAGTGTCCCCCGTCGGAGTTTCAATGGATGACATCATCGTACATCGTCCACCCAGCATACCACGAAGAGCGATACAGAGGCTCGTCTCCGCTTTGCATTCAACTACGATTCTTGTTTGTCGATCATCCCAACGAAATTTTGAATGATCCTGCCATCTATAATTGGACTGATCATCAGCTGGAAGACGCAAGCTACGACAAAATTTACACTCGACCTCTTTGGTCTTCCGACTGCTTCAACCGCAATCAAAGATATTGCCGGCGGCTCGCTTTTGCCCCAAATATAGACGTATCATCCCCGAAGCCCCGCTGCCCTGATCGAAAGGTCATGGATGTCACGGCTTGTTGGATGGTTGTTGGCTATGTATCGGGCCGGTACCGCGCGTGTGTGGAAGACTTTCCATTTCCAAAATTTCGACAGATCGGGTTCTTTTTCGAAACTCTTACTGGTAAACACCTCCATTTCCACGGAGCTTTGTGGAGGGATTTGTTAGACTTATCAATTGGTTTGCAGCGTTCGTGTCCATCAGAAGCTCTCGGCAGGACTCAAGTGGAAAATGATCTACGATTTTGAGTTAGGTTCGTGTGACCGGGACCCTCGATACACTGTCTTTGGCGAAGCTTCCGACCTCAATCAATGGCGGAAGCTGGTCGAAGTCGATGATCGATGTCTTTTGTCGCCCGTCGTCCTGCCAGGAGCTCATGAATCTCAGATGCGTGAGACCCACGCGAAGAAAGTCTTTGCGGACCATGCAGGAGAAAATGTGCCCGAGCATGCGGTTGAGAGACCCTCAGATCCAGGCAGATCTGGGGATGGAGCTTGATCCAAGAAGGATTTGTATGGTTCGACAGGGAGATGAAATTACTCTCGGAACGAGCTCGTGATCCGCACTTCCTGCGGTGATCACTTTCATGCAGCTCACCACTGAACAGTTCTGGGATGGATTTCACCATCACGATCGCTTCACTTGACCAATATCCCAATCCCTTACTTATGTGATGCCTTCCCTTTTTCGAATTGAAGTTTCCCTGCTTGGACGACAACGACGACGATGAGAGATGACTATGACGACGACGGACAACAGAGACCACGGCAGCGGCGGCGGCGACAACGGCGGCGAAGTAGCAACTAAAACAACGGCATTCACACGGATTACAAATGTCAAAACAAGATTGCCTGACCTGAGCCAGAAACCACTCAATACATGTAAATGCTTGATAGAAGCATTTTCGTTGACCTGAGTGGGAGTGTTTCAGTTCTCGAGACATGGATAGTAAGGTAGACGTTGAAAAATCTGGCAGGCTCTTGAAATCTAAGCAGGATATTCCTTCAATACACTTTTGTTCAAGTAGATATCGAAGTCTCAGAGACAAATGAATTCACACTTGAGTGGCCTTCCTACCTGAACATGTAGCCCAGGAGACTGAGGGTGAATGACTAGGCTCACCTCACACCTCCTTTTGAGGGAAGGCACGACTCTGCCTCTCAACTGCTTCCTGCCTCATCTGTCTTTGTTGTTCTCACCTTTGCCTCACTTAAGGAGGGTGCACAACCTGACGCGCCTCGAGAGGAATTCGAAAAAAAAAACAAAGGTAGCCCTCTTCACTCTGCGCAAGCTGTGAGAATTTTCTCTCGCTCTCACCCACACAAACCCAACTCTCCCCTCTTCCCTCCACACTCCCTCATCATCATCACCGTCAAGCACCCAAACACCAAACAAGACTTCACGATGATGATCCCGCGTGTCCTCGTCCACGCCTCCCTCGCCGCTGGTGCCCTGGGTGCCGCCATCGCCAATGCTGGCCCTGGCCTCGGTCCCAAGACCGCCATCACCACCGCCTCCGACGGACAGGTCAGCTTGGTCAACACCACCGGCATCACCGTCCGCGACGATTTCGGTCCTCTCCCTGATCACAACTGCACCGACATCATCAAGCGCTACATCGTCCCCCAGATCGACTGCAGCTACTCCTTCGAGAACTGCGGCTTCGACAACCACCTCGAGTACCAGATCAAGATCGACCCCGTCGGCATGTCCAGTGAGAAGTGGTGCGAGATGCTCATCACCAAGATCCAGGACTTCACCGACAACTGGACCTACTGGTTCATGTGCGACCGCAAGTGGAAGGCCAACGAGAACGGCAACGGCCTCTTCCTCCGCTACAAGATCAGCTGGCCCTGGCCCGAGGGCAAGGACTTCATGGAGGAGGTCCAGTGGGCCATCCACTTCTCCATGTGCTTCAACCACCCTGTCCTGACCAACTGGGTCAACGAGGGGTAAGTTTTCATTCTTCTTTTTCTTCGCCCCATCGCCTACTCGAACTCAAGCTAACAACCCCCAGTTGCTACCGCAGCAGCGTCTGCAGCACTCGCTACTGGTCCGCCGACAGAGATGACAGCCCTCCCAAGAGCCCCTCCATCTTCAAGCGCGACGACGAGGACCTCATGGAGATCGGCCCGGACTCGGACATCCTCATGAGCACCCAGGCAGCCAAGGACCTCCGCCTCGTTCCCGCGCCCGACCCCGTCAGCCATGCTCCCGTCCTGATCGAGACCAACACCCCTGCCCAGGCCACCCCTCCCCCCGGCATTGACCCCGACTTCACCTGCGCCTTCGTCGACCCGAGCAAGGGCCTGACCACTGAGGCCGACTGCTCCTGGCGCTTCGATGAGCCCGACAACCGCCTCAAGTACAAGATCGACATCCAGCCCACCGGCCAGGACTCGACGAACTGGTGCGACAACCTCGTCGCCGCCATCCGCTTCACCTGCCCCGACGGTGATGGCCCCAACCGCTACAAGGTCAAGAAGTGCCAGACCGACGTCTTCGAGACCGACCTCGGCAAGGGCGTCTCCCTGGAGCTGGACATGTTCTCCTGGTTCAAGGTCGACAGCAATGAGAAGTGCGTCAAGGAGGCCATCGAGTCCACTACCTGCGGCATCCCGGCCACCTTCAAGAACGGCGGATGCTACAAGCAGTAGTCTACAAGCAGTGATAGTCTAGCGCTCACCTAGGTTATGATCTTGGGGTGGATGTTGACAGTTGGAGAAATGGAATAGCTTGGAATCTGGTCACGTTTGGTTGACTTTGGCTTGAGAAGATTGGCAGATGCGTTGGGCTAAATCATAGCAAAGACAGACAGATTCCCGCACCAGAATACAGGAACGATGATTACATTAAACCTCTGCTCGTGACGTGACATGCTCTCACCCCCATGACAGATCTTGCTCGAACCCCTCCCGGAATCCTACCACAAGTATGGTTTGGGGTCGACCTCATCTAAGAACCTCACACCCTCCCTCTCAAGCTTCTCTCCGTCCAAACCCCACAAATCCGCCTCATAACGCATCCAAAAGCCCTCTTCCGGGCCGTCCTCATCTTCTATTATCGTCTCCACCGCGATCTCCTTCAAATTCGGCAGCCGCCCACTACCAACCGCCTCCTCCAACCACTTCACATCCTCCCGAACACGCCCTATCTCCCCCAATATGTGTAGCCTCTTCAGCGACTTCGGCAAACACTTCAGATCGCCTTCCCCCGCTACAATCTCGATGCGGTCGTAGCTGCGATCGTGCCGGCTCGTCGATTCCAGAATCCCAACCCCGTTCCCCAGCCCCGCCCTGCTCAGATTGTGCGTGTTCACCCACAGGTTCTCCAGCTTCTGCAGGCCGCCAAACACCGGCGCCAGTCCGTACCGCCCGAACCAATAATCCAACGGCGCGTCGATGCAGAGCGTCGTCACGGTCTCGGGGAACCGCACCGCCAGATACTGTTCGTACATGGGGTATCGAGCCCACCTGGGAGTGGGCGAGCTCTTGACCGTGTAGACGAAGGTCTGCAGTCTATGGAGCCGCTTCAGGGCCTGGTCTAAGTGATTCGGGTCAATGACGGCGCAATGCCAGAGGACGAGGCGCGTGAGCCAGCTGAATGCGATGAACTCCGCGGGCGGGAGGCCCGTTTGTAGGTCGCTGGTGAGCAGTTCCTTGATGTAGCCGTACTTTGCGAAGATCCCGCACCGGCTGGGCGTCATACCGGCTATTCCAGGGTGCCCATCTCCGTTGTCAACTTTCGTTATGCGCAGGGATTTGAGCCGCGGTGGGAATCTTTGTCGAAATTTCACATTTGCACATGACATGTCCAGGGGTTGAAGAAGGTCCATCATACAATAAGGCAAAGTGACTCTCTCGACGTTTGGAAGCCGCAGCAGGATTAGCTGCGCCAGCAAACCCAGCCTATGACCATGCCCGCGCTGCAACGGCACATGCGGCCCGACGCGTTCACGCCCGACTTGATCCAGAGGAACCCAGTATTCGTCCATACCCTTGAAGCCAGCCTTGCGCGTATCGCCCTTGAGAGTCAAGTTTGTTGGCTATCTTCCCGTAGCCGGCCTTATCCCCATAGTTCTTCGCCAGGAACAGGTCCTCTTCGTAGTCGACGACGAACTGCGTCGTGTTCTGGAACACTTGCGGTTGCGGTAGAGCCCAGCACCCGGTGGTGCTTGACCATCCGCGGGAAGATGTCTCTCTTGGTGAGGAAGATGACGCGGTGCTGTTCGTGTTCGAAGAACTGGTGGAACCTGCGGCAGGTAGGCGCGAGGCTGTTGATGATTCGCTGGCGCACGATGGGCGGGGAGTCGGCGACCCGTCTGGGACCCAGGGACTTGATGGCTGTGTCGTCGGAGACTTCTGCCGCGGCGAGGTCGAGGATATTGTCGATCAACTCAGCTGGGAGGTCTGTGATGCTAGCCATGGCCATGATGAAGTGAGAAGCGGCTGGAGAGAACAGATCTGTTGTGATTTGCACCGTCTGGTGGGGCGTGGTGACATGAGAATAACGGTTGTTTTTGGAACAAAAGAGCTTGCCGTAGAGTAGATTCAACTGAGAATCGCGCAGCATTGTCGGAAAAACCGTTTAGGTTCCTGTGTGGACGACGTTTGCAACCCTTGCGGCCATGCAAAATGCCGGGTTCTCGCCGGTGACTCGAATGGGACCAAGCATAACCAGGGCCAGGACGGCACAGGCAAAATCAAACCTGTACTCGCAGTGGCAGGATCCCTTAGGATATATTTACGCTGCGGCTGGTATCTCTGGAAATCTACAACTTTGCTACCACCATCATGGTATAGTCCCGATCGTCATGTTTGGCCACAACCCGCCCAGAAAGCCCAAAGAACACGCTCAAATGCAACTCAAATGCAAATTCTTCATGATAGAGGTAACGGACTCGCTGCTTGCCTTACTAGGGCCCAAAGCCGCTTCGTGGCCCGGGCCGCGTCCGTCGGGCCACCCGGCGTGGCCCCTATGATTCGCATGCTTTCACGAACCGAGCGAGGCGCGTCTTCATAATTCGGCCAGATCGCTATGGGCGTTTCGCTGGGCATGTTCGTCCGCCTCAGGGTGGGTTCCTTCCCCGGCTCCGTGGCAGGGTGCATCCACTCCAACCAGACCGGCATCGGCATTTCTGTCTTCTTGCTGGGTGCGGTGACAGTAGTCCGTTTCTGCGCGGCCAGCTTCGCGCCCGTCCCAGGGTATTTCTTCGTCCCGTAAACAATCATCTCCCTGTTGGCCCACCTGAGGATCTCGGGGGCATCCTCCCTCCACTCCGACCGCACCGGCCGTGGCCAGATCTTCGCCGCTGAACTGCCGACGACAACCGGTTTGCTGCTCTGGGGACTCCTGAGCTGCCCTCCTCCCGTACCGCATTGGGCAAACCTCTCTCTAAGAGACGCCATCACCTCAGGCGTGCCGCTGTCATCTTCCGACTCCACCTCGATGTCACGCAGATACGGGACTCTCTTGTGGTTCCGGATGAGCCGTTTCAGCGGCTTCGGCAGCCAGAATTCGCCGGCGAGCCTGGCGACGTGTAGGCGCGGCGGTAGAGCCTTCAGCACTTCTGTGGCGTCCCGATCCCTCTGATTCCTGTCGCGGTAGCCGTAGCTTCCCTGGGGAATTCGGTGCCCCAAGTTCAGGTAGATGTGATGCAATAGGTAACACTCGCGGAGGCGGCCCCAGGTAGGGGGCCCATCGCACTGTGTGCAGTGGCGTAAGTCGAGCACGAGCGTTCTAAGGTTGAAGTTGTGCCGCACGAACAGAGCACTCTGGAGGAAGAGCATGGCCTCCTGGGGAACCCGCACCCTGTAGGGGGTACCTTCGCGCGTCTCGCGGTATTTCGCCATGAACCTGAACTCCTCCAGCAAGGTGCAACTCTGGATGTAGAGGGCCATAGCGGCCATCTCCTTCCAGCTGTCGACGCTTCTTGAGTTGGTCAGTGTGAGCTTGCGGACAGAGTTCAACCATGGCAACAGGTGGGGGTTGGTCGGGTCGGCCGAAGGCATAAGGCGTCCTACGGGCTTTAGTTCCTCGACGGAGAGTCGCTCGGCTTTGAGACACATCTCCATGAGGATTCGCACGTCCTTGTCGTCGACATGTTGCCACTCGGTGGCGCTGCGGTTGATCTTCATGGCCACGGAACGGACGGTTGGCAGCGTGGGGAGAGTCACTCGTGGCGGCACTTGTGGTAGGTTTTGTCTCTTGCGGTCTCCCGCGTCTAGCCTCTGATTCTCCAAAGCTGTGTACGCGTGGGAGAACACGCGCTTGCCGTGCTCGAGACCAAGGTCGACAAGGCCGGGGAGGCGACGCAGCAGAATCAGAAGAAGCGTCTCCATACGCTGGCACTCGTCCCAGTTCCGGGTCTCGACTTCGTTGGTGTACTGCTTCATCGGCCTCTCAGGCACGCGGCTCTGCGCTCGTTTGGTGCCCTTCCACTCGAACTCCTGCTTGTGGGGTAGGCCCTCCCATTTGCAATCGCAGAAGGGGGTGCCGGTCTCCTCGGCCTGCTTCATCACCCACTTGGCATCGTCCTGGCTGACTAACGTCACGCCCGAGTTCACCACTTCGAGCTGGAGGTAAAGCTGCTCGATGCCTTGGGCGATTGTTGGTTTGTCGGTGACGAAGCGCACGAAGGACAGCAGCTTGGTAAGGGAGCGTGGTCCTGGAATGGGGATACAGCGGTACAGGAACGGGCTGATGGTCGTGCGGCACCTCCGGTCGACCAGTGACAGGTTGAACACATCTTTCCAGCGATGGTAGATTATCGCAGGACCGTCTACCTCGAAGACATCTTGCAGGTTATGATGCGTGGGAAATAGCAAGGAGCAGATATTGGTGAGGATTTCCGGGGTCAGCCGTGAGAATGGATTTTGCTTCTGAATCAACTTCGCGGATGCAGCTTGTGAGGGTTGGTTTGGCTTTTGGGCGTCTTTATTCTGTCTCTTTTTGATTCTCTGTCGTTTGTTCTTGTTCATGTTTTTATTTCGTGACATTTTGGCTTTGTTGCGGCGGGCACAGTATTCTTGAACATTGAAAGGGTGACGTTGGTGGACGGGATGTAGCTAGGTAATTAAAGTCTCGGCGCGTGACGGACGCGAAGTGTGGTGCGATATCACGTGACTCCACAAGTCTTCGCGACTGGCGGGCCCCTGTCTGCAAGCCCCTTTTCATTTTCTCAGACCAACCTCATTCAATGACCAAAAAAGCAAGCAACACACGACGCGACAACTTATGCCGCTCTCAGAAATACCGATCCCATAAGCGGGCGTCCCGAATCATACCTCGTCTCGTCGGCGCTTCCACCCCAACCTGCAAGAACAACTTCCGAATGACCTCTTCTGGCGTGTAATCATCGCCCGTTGGCCAGTCCAACTCAACTCTGACAAGGTTCGGGAAAAGCTTGGTGTGCCCAGCAAGCCAATAGAGTCCCCCGCTGGGGACATACGAAGCATTGTGCAAATGGAGTCTTTTGATAGAAGGCGGTAAGGACATGATGAGCTTTTCTCTTCGATCCACCCTAATCAGCGTCCCCTGGACCGCAGGCAAGTCCCCAGTAATGGTCCTGTTATCAATCCAGAGATTCTCCAGGGCGACGAAGCAACCGAGCTTAGAAACAGGCATGCTAAGGAAACCGCGAGGGGAGTACCCTGAGGACGAAATGCACAACGTGCGCAGCGTGTTCGCATGTTTCCGCAGAGTGTGTATCACCTCCCCGGGCTCAGCCTGCGTCGATTGTGTCACTCCAAATGACTCGCACGCTGTTGGCAAGTACTTGAATGTCGACAAAGCGCTGCAGTGATTGGCGATGCTCTGCATGGCTGCGATACTTATGTGCTGAGTAGTCAGGGTGAGATGAGAAATGTTCGCCCAATTCCCGATCGGGCCCTTTTGAAGTCTGAAGTCCACACCGGCGTCATCAAGACACAGCCGGCTGGTCTTTGAGCCCAAGCAGAGAAGATTCGCAAGCTCATCCCCCTCGAGTCCAATAGTTCGGAACGGTTCGGTGCCTGCAATATGTGTCGTAACAAGAGAGAACAACTGCGGGAGCCAGGGCTGCCAACCACCATCGGTGTCTCGTCAGCGAACCTGACCCTTTCGTCATCTGGGTCGAATCCTGAGCCACGCTGCTTCGCTAGGTTGCCACGAGCGAAATTTCTGAATACGCCGTAGGGGCAGGTAAGCGCCAACTCTTGCGTTCCTCGGAGATGAGCAAGCAAGATGGCGACGAGAACCTGGAGTCGCAGGTGTTCCTCCTCTTGACAACCAGGGTTCTTAAGTTCGGTTAATCTCTTTGCTAAATGATCAGCGACCAGATCTTCGCAAGGAAAGATCTCTTGAGGATACGTGATTCCGGAGTTTTCGGCCGCGTTCTGGATGAAAAACATATCCTTCTGTCGAAGAGATGCAGAACCGGTCCTCCCCGGATCGAGGCTGATGTACACCTGCCTCACGTCGGCAGCTGCGTCAGGATGCGCTGTGATGAACCGCAAAAACGACACGAGCCTCGTGATTGGAAGCTTCCCTTGGATCCTGATCTGTGTGTACAGCTTGTCGGAGACAATTTGGCGGAAGTGGCGGTTCAGGAGTGAGAAGTTGAGAAAGTCGTTCCATCTGACCCCAGTGATTCGTCCCTGCTCCTCGATGTCTCCTGGCCACACAAACAGGTCATGCATTGGCAGACCCAAGCGCAAGTGAGAAAAGATGGTGAGGATGAGCTCCGGGGGAAGATCGCCAAGCTGAGCCATGGTGCACGTCGGTTCTGGATTGGAGAATAGGGTCAACTTGGTTTGTGTTGGTTGAAGAAATCCACACGCAACTCACAGTGGACGATGCTAGAGAAGCAAGTAGTAAGGGCCTTGGAGGCAGGGGGTGCTTGGGATGACTGGAAAGTTCGCCGCGAGGCTTCCAGCATACTCCATCCAAAAAAGCGTCTTACACATTGAAGATTTCAGATGGTGCCTGACAAAGATCAGTAGGTGAAAAACTCTTTGTTTTGGCATTCGGCCTACGCATTCTCATTTACAACGGGCTTCTTTGAGTTTGATTCATGCGAAAAGAATGCATTTCTAAGAGCTGGGAAAGTCTTTGATAACCATTTAGCTATTAGGTTTTTTTCCCCTTTTTTTTGAGAATTATTTTGTCGAGATGATATATGCTAGCCCAAGAGGGTTATTGTTTGAGAGACTGCCTATATTTCCTGTGCTATGCTGACTACTTTTCCTGTGACTATGTTTTACCATCGTCGTCGTCGTCGTTATTAATGTCATCGTCATCGTCGTCGTCGTCGCTGTGGCTACTATAGTCTCCGAAACGAGTAATCAATTACACAGGAAACCGCGTAGACACAGGGAAAATGGGCAATCTCATTGTTCGCGACTGGGCACAACCAAGTACTCGAGAAGCTTCGTCGAAACCCCAATTTGATT